GAGCTGACCGAGCTTCAAGGAGGGCAAATTGTTGGTGCTCTCTTAGCAGGTGCCTCTGTGACTGAAGTTGCCAATTTATTTGCTGTGTCACGAGGTACAGAAGCCAGAGGTTATGACGGCTGAACAAAAAATCAGGTTCCTCCATCCACACAAATGAGGTAGATGGAGGAATCTTCCCCGACAGAATCTTGTATTCTGGACTAATAGTACAACTGGCTCTTTTCTTGCAGAACATTGGATGCATTGTACTTCCTTATCTGCAGATTACTTTGAAGCATTATTGATGTTATTGAATTATATAACTTATGTACAGTATCTCTCAGAAGTGAGTACAGCCCTCACATTTTTGTAAATATTTTATCTTTTTATGTGACAATACTGAAGAAATGACACTTTACATTGTAGCAAAGTATTGAGCTTGTATAACAGTGTAAATTTGTTGTCCCCTCAAAATAACGCAACATACTGCCATTGTCTTAACCGCTGGCAACAAAAGTGAGTACACCCCTAAGTGAAAATGTCCAAATAGGGCCCAAAGTGTCAATATTTTGTGTGGCCACCATTATTTTCCAGCACTGCCTTAACCCTCTTGGGCAGGGAATGGAGTTCACCAGAGCTTCACAGGTTGCCACTGGAGTCCTCTTCCATGATGACATCACGGGCAAAGCTGTTGGTTGTTAGACCTTGCGCTCCTCCACCTTCCGTTTTGAGTATGCCCCACAGATACTCAATAGGGTTTAGGTCTGGAGACATGCTTGGCCAGTCCACACCTTTACCCTCAGCTTCTTTAGCAAGGCAGTGGTTATCTTGGAGGTGTGTTTGGGGTCGTTATGTTGGAATACTGCCCTGTGGCCTAGTTTCTGAAGGGAGGGGATCATGCTCTGCTTCAGTATGTCACAGTACAGGTTTGCATTCGTGGTTTCCTGAATGAACTGTAGCTCCCCAGTGATGGCAGCACTCATGCAGTCCCAGACCATGACACTCCCACCACCATGCTTGACTATAGGCAAGACACACTTGTCTTTGTACTCCTCACCTGGTTGCCGCCACACACGCTTGACACCATCTGAACCTAATAAGTTTATCTTGGTCTCATCAGACCACAGGACATGGTTCCAGTAATCCATGTCCTTAGTCTGCTTGTCTTCAACAAACTGTTGCGGGCTTTCTTGTGCATCATCTTTAGAAGAGGTTTTCCTCTGGGACAACAGCCATGCAGACCAATTTGATGCAGTGTGCGGCGTATGGTCTGAGCACTGACAGTGTGACCCCCCCCCCCTACCTCGTCAACCTCTGCAGCAATGCTGGCAGCACTCATACGTCTATTTCCCAAAGACAACCTCTGGATATGACGCTGAGCACACGTGCACTCAACTTCTTTGGTCAAGCATGGCGAAGCCTGTTCTGAGTGGAACCTGTCCTGTTAAACCGCTGTATGGTCGTGGCCACCGTGCTGCAGCTCAGTTTCAGGGTCTTGGCAATCTTCTTATAGCCTAGGCCATCTTTATGTAGAGCAACAATTCTTTTTTTTTTTTTTTTTTTTTTTTCAAATCCTTAGAGAGTTCTTTGCCATGAGGTGCCATGTTGAACTTCCAGTGACCAGTATGAGAGAGTGAGAGCGATAACACCAAATTTAACACACCTGCTCCCCATTCACACCTGAGACCTTGTAACACAAATGGGTCACATGACACCAGGGAGGGAAAATGGCTAATTGGGCCCAATTTGGACATTTTCACTTAGGGGTGTACTCACTTTTGTTGCCAGCAGCTTATTTTTATTATTTTTTTTATTATGCAGTATTTAGATAGCACCAAAGGGTTTGCTCAGCACTGTGACAGTTTGGACATTAATGGCTGTGTTGAGTTATTTTGAGGGGACAGCAAATTTACATTATATGTTCTACAAGCTGTACACTCACTACTTTGTACTACATTGTAGCAAAGTGTCATTTCTTCAATGTTACATGAAAAAATTAAATATTTACAAAAATGTGAGGGGTGTACTCACGTCTGTGAGATACTGTATGTAAAGTTTATTGGTGTGCCATGTCCACGTTCTGCTCCTGTACTAAAACATTTAAATAACATGTTACAAAACCCCAAAACTTTAAAGAATTAAAAAAAAAAAAAAATGGAGATGATGGAAGTAAAAGGTTTGTGCATTGTCATTGTTTAGGTGAATTTTTTTTTTTTTTATCCAATGTCTCTATTTTTTTTTTTTTTTTTTTTATTTTAGATGGTGAAGTCAATGTTTTGGATGACATTTTAACTGAGGCTCCTGATCAAGATGATGAGCTGTACAACCCTGAAAGTGAGCAGGATATTAATGAGAAGAAAGGTATCCACACACAGTTTTTTTTTTTTTTTTTTTTTTTTTTTTTTTTTTTTCCCCCCCTTATTTGCTTATATACTTAGTACCCCTGTACGCCATTCTGATATCCTCCAGGGCCCATTGAAAATCCCAGTACTACTTTTGTATTGGAAATGTTCATGTTTCACGGCACTCCCTAAAATATTGCACCTGAGCAGTGTCGCACGAGGGTGTGAAGACATAAGTGTAACCTTGCGCTGTTGGTGAAAGTTGATTTTGCGCAAATGAACAGTAGCATGGCCAGTTGGTCTGGTTTTCTACCGTACAGTCTTGTTTTATTACAGGTCTGTTTTAAATGAAAACTGGATCTGTTAATTGAACAATCTTTTAGAATCTCCACGTAACGGTTTGATCTTTGTCCACAACCATTTATATGGCTCCTATGCAGTGACTATTCATGCATGTACGTATTTATTTTAATTAATAAGTCCCTATGGCTGCTTTTACCTTTAAAGCTGGCCATACATATTTATTTTTGGTTCAGTCACCAGGCTGAACTAAAAAATTACAGATTCAATCAAGATGAATTAATTAATCTCTCCCACCTCAGCCCCCTCCTGCCAGAACATTGCATTATAAAAGCGGGACCCACTGCTGCTATAGCTGCTGATTGATCAACTTTCGTCTAAATTACATGCTAAAAATACTTGTCAAACAATTTGAATTCTGTTGAGTGGGGATGGCCACACAGTGATCAAAATTTGGTTGGTCCCAGCTGACTTTTGTTTGGTGTATGGTCGGCTTAATTCCCATCCTGGCAAAACAATGTGTTATGTCCACCATGTATGGATTTGTCTCTGTGAACATGTTCAGAGAGGAGAGTCACATGCTCACTATAATGGAAAACGGGGAAGAAGATAAATCTGTTGTGTGGGGTTTTTTTTTTTTTTTTTTTTTCTCCCCTTCATGGGCAAAACACAGGTCCACTTTAAATGGGTATCTACTTTTATTTAAGTGATTTTAAATCCTTGACTTGTAAAACAACCCAGTCAGTTTAAAATAGAAATGAAAGGCAAAACATTTGACTTTCTCCCCTTACCTCCTTCTTTTTTTTTTTTTTTTTTTTTTTTTTTTTATTTAAATGTTTATTTGGTTTTTCAAATTAACAAATTATACAAAAAAAAAGAAACATAGTCACAATATAAAAAAAACTTCTTCTACTTTCAATCTTCAACCCCTTACCTGTAAGTGAGTGCAAACCCTCTGTTCTCAGCTGCATAAATGCTGGGGGAGGAAGAACAGCAGCAACACACTGATTTTCTCAGTAAAATGCTGGGGGGGGGGTTGATTGTCAGCAGCAGTCTGATCATTGGAAGAAAGCCGGGTGAGTTCTCGGCACAGCTAGAAAACTAACCAAGGTGTTCTCTCATGCCTAGTGTGAGCAGTTTTTAATAGGAAAGGGGGACTAGAAGGAACACCAGGGGTTTCACAGAAAGGAGGCAATACAAAGAACAGGATACTTCTTCATACAAGTACTTGGTACAGCAGGCACATATCAGGAATATGACATGTTCGGCTTACGTACTCTTAAAGAGGAAAACTCCTTCTGTAAGCAGCCATTGTTGACCTTTTTGCCTCTGAAATGCCTGTGCATCTTGCTTTAATACATAAGGGCATTAACCTGACCTAAAACAATTCTGTGACAAGAATGGCAGTTGTGGTATTTTTTGTTGATCAATCCCAGTAAATGGATGATGTGGTTGTGTGGGTGGAGCCCACACAGAATTCAATCATTGATGACAACCACCTATGGCATGAAAAACCCGACCTTTAGGTAAAAAGGGGGCACTTTGGTTTTAGGGACATGGTGTATGCAGACATGCTTCATGTTACACACTAAATGTGGATATAATTTGAGACCTGGTCTAGAAAGTGGTCTGTCTTTAACCAGTTTTCCTACCGCGCTATAGCCGAAGGACGGCTACAGCGCGGTTGTCTGGTTCTGGGACGACGTCCATGGACGTCATTCCAGAACACGTTGCCAGCGATCGCTGTGTCCTACGGACACAGCTGATCATGGGATACGGTAAATGGCCAATCACTGCGGCCTTTTACCATGTGATCAGCTGTGTCCACTAACACAGCAGATCGCCGGGTAAATACAGTTGCGGTTATCGGCTGCACTTTCCTCACATTCTCACAGCGTGGGGAAAGTACTACCGACAACCGGCAATTGTCAGAGAAGTGATCGGCACTGATCATCAGTGCTGCCCACCTGTTCCCAGCAGTGCCACCCATCAGTGCCCATCAATGCAGCCTCAACGCACATCAGTGAAGGAGAAGAATTATCTGTTTGCAAAATTTTATAATAGAAACAAACGAAAACCCCCCCCCCCCCCCCTTTTTTTTTTTTTTTTTTTTTTTTTTTTTTTTTCCCCCTAGCGCAAAAATTCCAGTGGCGATTAAATACCACCAAATGAAAGCTCTATTTGTGTAACAAAAAATTATAAAAATTTCATATGGTTAGTGTCATATGACCGCGCAGTTGTCATCCAAGGGGGTATAAGTGCCCAGTAGGCAAGTGGTTAAACATTGCAAATTTTTATGATACGCTAAACTTATTTTAACTCCATTAGCACAAATGAGCAATATTTTATCTGTTTTCTATTCTATTATTTTTTTCCTAGGGTCCAAAAGAAAAAGTGATCGAATGGAAATTCCTGACAATAAAAGGCAAAAACAATCCTCCCACATAGCAAGGCCTCCCCCACAAAGGCTGTCTAGTGGCACAAAGAGAGTTGTTAGCACCAAAGGAAAGCCGGTATCTGAATACAAGAATGATGACTTCTCTAGACATGACAGAAGCAGAAGGCCTGAAAGTGTGATCGGAGAGTTCATCCTTCTGGTAGCTCTGGACGGGAAGGATATAAAGGGTCACAGGAAAAAATCAGCGCAAGGAAAAGAGAGCCTGACAGGAGACCTAAATCTGCCAGTCCTGATCGGTCAACTGAGGTAACGAATGACTGTTCTTAGTAATAATTACTTGTTACATGTTTTGACACTACATGTTTCTAAATGTAACCCATTGATTTAGACTGCTGTAATTTTTGTCCTACCTAAAATCTTAGTGTATAATTCTACTGCTTGTCAAACCGGTATAAAATGGTACATAACTCTAGTTGTCCTTTAAAGCTACAGAGACACCCTATTACAGAAAAAATACTGTTGATATTTGCATTGAATTAATGCATCACTGTGTGATGTGATAAAGTGATGCTAAATTTTTCTTTGGTTTAAAATAAAAAGATGTTATACTCACCTGTTCTTTGCAATGTTGCAGAGAGAAGTCCTCCTCTTTTGGGTACCACCCACTGGCACTGTCAGCTTCTACCTGCTCAGTGTTTCTCCTTGGCAAGCTGGGTGCTAAGGAGGCACTCATGCTTGCATGCTGTTAAGCTAGGCTGTATGCATCTATACACACACATAGTTCCAGTAAGCCACGCCTCTGTTCCCTCCTCACAGGGTTTTGACTGACCGTAGCAGTAGCCTTTTTCTCCCACTGCCCTGTTTCTCCTGTGAAACAAAGTGAGGGGAGTTGTGCTGCAGCCAAGACAGTGCTGATGTGGTGCCAAGAGTCAGGTAAGTGTTTAGGGATGGCAGAGGGTAGGACAGGTGGTGGGGCATTTTTCTGCCTTAATACAGAGAATGCAAGGTAATAACCATTTAGACTTTAGAACTACTTTCATTTGTGGGACTTGATCCTTAAGGCTGAGCTGACAAGTTAGTTGTACCTTTCAAGTGTCTTATTAGTCTTGTACCTAAGAAGGACTTCTTGTTTTTGGCAAAGTGCTACTAAAAAAAAAAAAAATTTATCTCTGTAGAGAAGTTTCTTAGCCTTTTTTTTTTTTTTTTTTTTTTTTTTTTTTTTTTGCTCAAGGCACTTTTTTTTAAATTATGGACAGTCACGAGGCAACCCTTTAAAATTATGGACAGTCATGAGGCACCCCATTCTAAAATGTGAAAAACTATTCTAACAGTTTTATGTAACGCAGCAACATCCATACATATAGGACACCCAACATTAGAGGTGATTTATTCTTCCAAAGAAAATACACTTGCACATTGGCACTGACTAGTATTCCAGTGTTTCTCTTCTCCCTCAGTTTTTCTCCATCGCTGAGCTAATGTGAGCCCAGCACTGATGGCGAGGGTCGGGGGGGGGGGGGGGGGGGTCAAACTAAGATGCTGTGCAGGCAACTGATATCCTCATCAACTGATGTCATTGGTTGTCAGGCTGCCGGCTAGAAGGTGCTGCACAATGAAAACCTGTGGCTTTGTGTAACTAAAAAGCAGGCTTATTCCATCTGCTGACTTTGTATGCAAGTTTTGGGCAATTTTTAGACATTTAGCTAAGGTTCCTCTGAAGAAACCTCAAGGCACCCTGGTTGAGAGAGACAGTTGTAGAGCAGGGCTTGAAAAAGCCGCTTGCCAAATGCGAGGAGAAATTCCTCTGTGGCGAGCACAGATGAAGCATGGAGCGACTGCACCTGCGCTCCAAGTCTCATTGTGAAGCCGAGTTCCGGTTTCCGGATTCTGCGGTACCGCCGCTGAGGGGACAGGTGCAGGAGAGGTCCGCTCTCCTGCTGAGAGGAGACACCTTCTCCACCGCCGCGGGGGGACTCAAGTAAGTACTATATACATGTCAAATCACTATAATGGAGTACAGGGGAGCTGGGATATACATTACTGTATACGTGTCATATCACTATAATGGAGTACAGGGTGGGATATACATACTGTATACATGTCATATCACTATAATGGAGTACAGGGGAGCTGGGATATACATACTGTATACATGTCATATCACTATAATGGAGTACAGGGGAGCTGGGATATACATTACTGTATACATGTCATATCACTATAATGGAGTACAGGGGAGCTGGGATATACATACTGTATACATGTCATATCACTATAATGGAGTACAGGGGAGCTGGGATATACATTACTGTATACATGTCATATCACTATAATGGAGTACAGGGGAGCTGGGATATACATACTGTGTACATGTCATATCACTATAATGGTGTACAGGGGAGCTGGGATATACATTACTGTATACATGTCCTATCACTATAATGGAGTACAGGGGAGCTGGGATATACATTACTGTATACATGTCATATCACTATAATGGAGTACAGGGGAGCTGGGATATACATTACTGTATACGTGTCATATCACTATAATGGAGTACAGGGAGCTGGGATATACATTACTGTATACATGTCATATCACTATAATGGAGTACAGGGAGCTGGGATATACATTACTGTATACATGTCATATCACTATAATGGAGTACAGGGGAGCTGGGATATACAAACTGTATACATGTCATATCACTATAATGGAGTGCAGGGGAGCTGGGATATACATTACTGTATACATGTCATATCACTATAATGGAGTACAGGAGAGCTGGGATATACATTACTGTATACATGTCATATCACTATATATGGAGTACAGGGGAGCTGGGATATACATTACTGTATACATGTCATATCACTATAATGGAGTACAGGGGAGCTGGGATATACATTACTGTATACATGTCATATCACTATAATGGAGTACAGGGGAGCTGGGATATACATTACTGTATACATGTCATATCACTATAATGGAGTACAGGGGAGCTGGGATATACATTACTGTATACATGTCATATCACTATAATGGAGTACAGGGGAGCTGGGATATACATTACTGTATACATGTCATATCACTATAATGGAGTACAGGGAGCTGGGATATACAAACTGTATACATGTCATATCACTATAATGGAGTGCAGGGGAGCTGGGATATACATTACTGTATACATGTCATATCACTATAATGGAGTACAGGGGAGCTGGGATATACATTACTGTATACATGTCATATCACTATAATGGAGTGCAGGGGAGCTGGGATATACATTACTGTATACGTGTCATATCACTATAATGGAGTACAGGGGAGCTGGGATATACAAACTGTATACATGTCATATCACTATAATGGAGTGCAGGGGAGCTGGGATATAAATTACTGTGTACAGTTTTATATTTTGGACTCTTCTGAAGAAAAATGTAATTTCATAAGCTTTAAAGGGCGGGGGTTGGGGGACGGTCCTGGGGGTGGGGTTGGAGGTGGACCTGGGCAAGGTTGGGTGGGGTAACTGGTGGAGAGTAAGGTTTGTGCCTGGCTAGTGGGTCTAGACTCAAAATTTTAAGCCCTGGTGTAGAGGATGCATCTGTCTCCTGTCAACTGTAGGTCCTCTCTAGAGCTTGGCTTTGTGGCACATTCTGCTTGGCTACTTATTTTAGCCGACTTTGACCTGTCAAATCCTGACTGATATCAAAACCTATTAGAATAGATCTCTTTTGACGTTTGAGCGTTTAGTGCTCGTTCTTGCAGCCTTGAGCTACAGCGGGAAGGCATTGTTGGAAGTTTCTTCGATCATTTTTTCCTTATGAATCTCTGGTTTATTACCAGGAGAAGGACACTTCTACTAAAGTGTGGGTCTGCTTCTGCCTCAGAGTGTATCTTACAGCCCTAAATGTTTTTTCATTCAGGCCCCGAAATTCCACATGAAATCCACTAGGTCTGTCATAGCTTCCATCCAGAAAACTTGTGGGTCACGGGTAATTCCATCAAGATTTCAAAGAACTCCTGTCATTCCTGTGAGTAACCACTGTACCCAAAAAGGTTACATCTAAGGGCTTCATAAGCTAGATAATGAAGGATCAATTCAAGTATAATTAAAGGCAATTGTTTTTTTGGATGGTGTGGGAAAAGATTTAGAATACCCATTAGGTTTTTATTGCTGTATGTGTCCCTGTTAGTGAGATTCACCTCTATCTGTCCTGTTTACCATCAATGACAGTGTAAGATATGAGAAAAAAAAAATTATCAAATTTTGGGTTGACCCTTGAAAAGTAATAGAGGGGACATCTTCCAATGGGGACACTAGTTCTGGTGACCTTGGGGGGGGGGGGGGGGGGTTGTGTGTTAACTTGCAGAGATTTTCTCACATCCTGTTTTGGCTATGGGACATGAAACAAAGGTAATATCTCCAGTGGCACATAGATGGTGAAAAAAACTGGCAGGGGTTATAATCTTCCCTTACTCTATCCAGGTGCTAGGTTATTTTTGTGTGCAATGTGTGTATTCCTAATTTAATCTGGGAGTTGTAGAACAAGTTGTGAGTGAAAGTTCACCCGGGAGTTCCAAGAGAGATCCAGTGCCCACTACTATGGGGCCTCCTTCTAAGTAACCCTCTATCTGTTAAACCTTGGACAAATTGTGAAAAATATGGATGATGGGTGAACACTCAAACTCCAGCAGAAACCAGATAGCAAGGTACACTTTAGAAAGCTACAGTAGGATCCCCATTCAGGACACTATAGGGTTGCATTCACACTTGGCTTTTACTGCATGTGCGACAAAGCACACAGGAAATGCACATCCCTCTTGTGCCATTGCTAATGTCATTCCAAATGCAATTAGCAGATGAGTGATGCTTCACACCAAAAAGGTTCTGGAGCATCTTCCACGTACTTTTCGCAAGTAGGGCAACCCATTCAGGCGTATAGACTGCCCTGTGAGACCGTGCGTTCCTGCTACGCGAAGTGTGAATGTGGCCTAAAGGACAACATCTCATATCTATTTTAAAGCTTCTCTCATAATCTTGCATAATCAAGGCAACTACACAACTCCTCTTTGAATTTCTAATTATTAAAATTGTATTCTTTTTCACTGTTTTAATTGCAGCAAAACCCTCCTGCTAATTCCCCTTTGATTCCATGGGATCTAAATCTGGTTCTCTCAGTGCTTTAAAAAGCACAATAGATCATTTCCTTTCTCCACTTACAGTGGATTTGGAAAAAGAATCCCCCCCCCCCCCCCCCCCCCCCCCCCCCCCCCCCCCCCCCCCCCCCCCCTTAAAGTAAATCATGTTTTTGTTGCTTTTCAGCCTGAAATTAAGACTGTTTTTATTCAGCTGTATTTACTCAACTGTAACTTATTAAAGCCAATTGAAAAAGATAACACCAACTTGTCAGAAAAAAAATTGCAAAAACAGAATCATTGAATTGTCAAAAGGATCACTCCCTTTTCAGTATTTTGTTGAACCACAGTTTTGCTTTAATTACAGCCTTTAGTTTGTTGGGATAGGTCTCCACTAACTTTGCACATTTAGACTGCAATATTTGCCCACCCTTCTTTATAGAACTGCTCAGTTTAATTTGATGGAGTTTAAGTATGGGCTCTGACTAGGCCATGCAAGGGCATTCAATTTTATCTGTAAAGCGCTGCGTGAATTGATGGCGCTCTATAAGTACCTAATAAACTTTTTCTCCTTCAACCACTGGTCATTTTTGCTGTGTGCTTTGGGTCATTGTCCTATTAGAAGTTAAACCATCTTCCCATTGACAACTTTCTTGCAGAGGGCAGCAGATTTTCTTCCCTAGATTTTACCCCATCCATTTTTCCTTCTGTCCTGACAAGTGCTCCAGTTGCTGCTGCAGAGAAACACCCACATAACAGGATATTACCACCTCATGCTTTACTGTAGGAATGGTGTTTGTTATTTGGATGGTGAGCTGTATTGGATTAATGTCAGACATAGTTTAGTGTTATGGTCAGATGAGACTAAAAATTTAATCATTTGGCCTCAACACCTTTTTTCCATGTGGCCTCAGAATCTTCAAGGTGCCTTTTGGCAAAACTCAGTCGAGACTGCATGTAGCCTTTCTTGAGGAGTGGCTTTTTTTCTTGTAACCCTCCCATACAAGCCACATTTGTGGAGATTTTGATTTTGTCACATGCACACAATGGCCATTCTGTCATAAATTCTTGCAACTGCTTCAGAGTTACTGTAGGCCTCTAGGAAGCCTTTCTGTGCTGTTTCCTCCTGGCTCTTTCATCCAGTTTGGAGCGATGTCCTGATCCAGGGAGGATCTGTGTTGTACTAATACCTTCAACCTCTTAATAGACTTCACTGTGCTTCTAGGCATTGATAATGCCTTTTTGAAATTATTTTGTATCCATCTCCTGACTTGTTCCTGTCCAACAACTTTATCTAGAGATCTTTGACTTTGTGTGCCATTGAGAAGGCGGTGGCTACACCTGATTTTAGTTTAACCCCAAGTCATTTTAGGAGGGTGGGTGATCCCTTTTCGAACTCCGTGATTCTGTTTTTTTTTTTTTTTTTTATTAAAAAATCTGCGTCTGTCTTCATTTCAAGCTGCAATGCAACAAAATGTGATTTTCAAGGGGGTGATTTATTTTTTTTTATAACCGTATATTATATTTACACTTTAATGTTCACTCTTTCACCAGAATAACTGGTGAACAAACTTCAAATATCCTGACCACCCTTCTGGTACATAGCGGCTGCCGGTGTAGTGTACACTATACAATGCAATAAACAGCCCCGGGGAGAGTATTCATCGTGATGCTTACAATGGCAAGTGTTCACAAATGAGGAAAGCATCTGAGGTGGCTTTTTTCTGGTAAGGTGTACCAGAAGAAAAAAGCGCTTCTCATTGGTCAGTATCATTATGTGGTCATTCTTGCCATTGCAAGCATTCTGGATGCTCACTTGGAAGCTGTGTATTACATTGTATAGACCACTACACCAGTAACACAGGCAGCATGGTTGACATTTGCAGTAGGGTGCGCCCTGATATCTTTTTCATGAAAAGATTAACCAGTTTGACTCCAGAGCAGTTTTTTGTGCATACATGTAAAAATTTTAATTTCTGGCAATAAAATTGCTTAAACCCCTGGAACATTATACATTTTTGCTGAAAGCAGAGGCTCTGTAGAATAAAAGGTGATAGTTGAAAATGTTTATCACATGGTATTTGCGCAACTGTTAATCAATTTTTTTCCCGAGTCATCTTCTAGGACAGCTACTTGAGAGATAGGGCTCCTCCCAGGAAAACACCCGCTCCACCCTTTTTTTCCCCTTTTATAGGCGTTTCCTCTCTCCCATTGCCCCAGTTTTAGTGTTTCCTCGGCCAGGAAGGAGCTACGCCCGTTTTTTGTTTTTTTTCTGGGCTCTCTGGCGGAGAGTACAGAGGGTCCCTGGCTGAGGGCCCCCCCTTCCTCCAAGGCGAGGCAGGGGCCTTGTGAGGGGGGGGGACCTTTCAGCCAGTTTCCACTCGGGGATTGCCCGTTGTAGGGTGGGGGCGTCGGCCCCAGATGGTCCCAGCAGGGCTCTCCAGGGGGGTAGAGCCCGCTCCGCCGACCGAGGCATTGGTGCCTTTCCCTGCGGGGTTTCAGGTAAGTCTTACCTGCTCCTGGGATCCGGCAGCATGGCCAGGAGGCTCGGCTGCGGAGGTCCATGGGACGCTGCTCGATCGCGTCACTTCCGGGGCGCCGGGGTGTCGTCACTTCCAGCGCAGGAGCAGGGAACGGCCGCCGCCATCTTGGAAATGGGCGGCGGACCGTGGAAGGAACCCGTGCCACGGCCGCTTCTCCAACCGGCGGCCGTGTGAGAGGGAGGTCGGCGAGGGGGGATCGCAGGGGGGGGGCGGAGCCCACCAGCCCCTGAAAAAACCGCCGCCACCGAGGCAGAGTCTGCGGCAGCATGGAGGCAGATCTGTTCAGGAGCGGGGGGAGGCCTGCAGTAAGGTAAGGGCCTTTGGCAACTCTCTTTTGTTTTTTGCCCCCCTACTCCCCTCCCGGGTTGATTGGGTGCCCCCCACGCACACACAGCCCCCTCTCCCCCCCCCAGGCCCACGGCTGGAGCTTTCACAGTGGCACAGGGGGGGGGAGGCGTTGCTTTTACAGACGCATGAACGCATGTATCTCCTTGTCCCCCAGATGGGCCCACAGGAGGAGGATAGAGGGAGAAAGAAGCTCCTTGTGCAGCAGAAAAAGAAGTGTGCCACTTGTAGGAAGAAGCTGGCGAGCTCCTGGAGGAAGCAGCTCTGCCAGGGGTGCATAGAAAGCTCATCAAGAAGGAGTCTGGATCTTTTTTTAAAGTCTTCCTAACAAAATATGACACAGGAAATGTCCAAGACATTTCAAAGCTTCAGGGAACAGAGGCTCGGGGCCCGGCCCAGGATGAGCCCCAACCGGGCACTTCTGGCACCCAAGGGGGGAAAAAAGAGGAAGCTGGACAAGGGGATAGCGCCGGTAAGGGACTGGGAAGAGGCCGAACAGTCGGACACCTCAGACTCGGAGGAGGGTGAGATTGAGGCTCAGGGCCCAAAGGCAGACAGGTTCCTTTTTCAGGTGGAAGACACGGAGGGGACCTGTTAAAGGTGATCTATGAGACCCTGGATCTGGAGGAGGAACAGCAGGACCTCTCTCTCCCAACGTACCGAACTGTACGCAGGGCTCCAGGCAAAAAGCAGCCGTACATTCCCAGTACACCCTGCCCTGGGGTCCACGATCAGGAGGGAATGGGAAGAGCAGAGAGGAAAGCTTTCCTTCCCAAGAACCTCAAGAGACGTTTCCCCTTTAAGGAGGAAGATGCCTCGGTTTGGGAGACTTGCCCAAAGCCAGACGCCCCTCTCTCGAGGATCTCGAAGGACACGGATCTGTCCTTTGAAGACGGTGGGTCCCCTAAAGGACCCGTATGGATCGGAAAGCAGATGCTTTCTGAAGAGGACATGGGAAGCATCCGCAGTAAATTTATTTAAGCCTGCAGTGGCAACAACCTGCGTGTCCAGAACCTGGATGTGTGGTTGGGGCAGCTCCGTTCGCATCTGGAAACAAGTGCACCCCGGGGAGGAGATTCTGATAGTCCCTTCCGTGCTGGAGAAAGCGGTAGCCTTCATCGCGGACGCATCAGGCTGAGACCATCAGACTCTCTGCTAGATCTACAGCGCTCATAAACACGGCGCGGAGGGCTATCTGGCTGAAATCTTGGCAGGGGGATCCTGGCCTCCAAGTCTAAACTCTTGTGGCCTGCCGTTTGAAGGAAACTCCTTTTCGGCCCGGAGCTGAATTCAGTCCTGGAAAGGTCGGCCAGACAGGAAAAAGAGCTTCCCGGTCCCCAGCAGGCAGGTCGGACGGAAGGGGTTTCGCCCCATCCAGGCGATACACGTCAAGGGAAAGCTAGGTTCCAAACCCAGCGCCCAGGCTGGGGCGCGAGAAGAGGCAGGAACGAGCCGGAGAGGCAGGGGAGGTTTCCTTTTCAACCCCAGCCAGAATAGACCCAAAACCCAGCAGAAGTGACCTGGAGAGGCCAGGTGGGAGCGAGGGCTGGGGCGCTTCTACGCACAATGGCTAAGGATAACCCAGAACACCTACATTCGCTGGAGGCCATCCACAGGGGGTTACAGAATAGAGTTCACAAGGGCCCCCCCTCAGAGATTCTTTGCAACACCCCTGCCAAAGGAAGGGCCATGGCGGATGCGTTGGTGGACCTCCTACAAGATATGCTCAGTCAGAACGTTATCTGCCAGTTGAGAGAAGAGGAAGGGGAAGTGGATTCTTCTCCCATTTCTTCACTAAGGAAAAAAAACCGTCAGGTGCTTACAGGATGATTATTGAATCTGCGGAAGGTGAAACGAGTTCGTGCGGCCCAGCAAATTCCGTAAGGAATCCATATACACGGTGAAGGATCTCCTTTCACCTGGGGTGTTCATGGCCTCGATAGTCTGCAAGATGCATACCTGCATATCCCGATAAGAGGAGATTCCAGGGAGATTCCTGAGGTTTGCGCTGGAAGGCGAAATGGGTCCGGTGCTATTTCAGTTCAACACACTCCCTTCGGCCTGTCGTCGGCCCCGAGGATCTTCAACCAAGATTCTAGCGGAGCCCTTTAAGAGTTTTGAGACTGGAAGGGATAAACATCATCCCCTATTTTGACGACCTGCTTTTATTTGCGGGGCACAGAAGGTGGCTTGAGAACGCACATCGAACGTACGATATCTTTTCTGGAAAGTTTGGGGTGGCTTATCAACAAGGAGAAGTCGCAGCTAAACCCCCTCCAAGAGGATTACGTACTTGGGGTATTACGTCCTGGACTCCGCACAGGCCCGGTTCATACCTCACATCAGAAAAAGCCTCAACCTGCGGCAGGACACAAAGGCCCGTCAGGAGGATGTCGACCTGCACGGTCAGGACCGCGATGAGAATAATCACGGGCGGATGACCAGCGGCAATATACCAGGGGTGCAATGGGCGCAACTTCACTCCAGGGTTCTGCAAAATCACACCCTTTCCCACTGGGACGGCAGCCGAGCAGGTCTGAGTTCCAGGATCCGCATCACGCAGGAAGTGAAGGAGTCGCTAAAGTGGTGGGGAAGCATCCTCACTTTGGAACGGGGAAGAAGTGGAGGCTGGCCAGCCCAGTGCGGATCACCACGGATGCAAGCATGACTGGTTGGGGCGCCCATATGGAAGACGGCCTGGCCCAGGGCCACGTTGGGGTGCAGTAGACTCCAGCAGGTCGTCAAAACTTGTTACAGGGAGCTGTTGGCCAGTTTTCAAGGCACTTACGACCTTTCAGGAAAAGATAAGGGGAGAGGGTGTCCAGGTTCTCTCCGACAATACCACTGCAGTGGCATATTTGAACAGGCTGGGGAGGCACAAGGTCCCCAAGGCTGATGGAGTTGGCCGGATCCCTCCTGAGCTGGGCGGAGGAAAACCTGGAGTTCATCACGGCAGTACATCTGAAGGGGGACCTGAACCAATTGGCGGATCAGCTGAGCCGAAGAGAGGTCGTCCAGACAGAATGGTGCCTCAGCCAGTCAGCGTTCGATCAGATTTGCGCCAGGGTGGGGCTCCCCCTCTATCGATATCTATTTGCCAACGGCCAGAACACAAAGCGGGAGAAGGTACTTCTGCCTGCAGAGGGACCCCAAAAGCGAGGGGATAGATGCGCTTAGCCCAGCAGTGGGAAGGAGACCTCCTTTATGCCTTCCCTCCATTCAGACTACTTGCCGCAGGTGATACAGAAGATCCAGTTGTCTCCAGCCAAAGTTGTTCTGATCGCACCATTCTGGCCCAAGAGATCTTGGTTCTCCGGTTGAAGGAGCACAGTTTAGCGGACCCTTGGATGATGCCACCCTCACGCGATTTACTCACCCAGGGGAGGGTGATGCATCCTCATCCAGAAAGGCTGTCCTTAGCGGCGTGGCTTCTGAGCGGGACCGGCTAGCGGAAATGGGGCTGTCGGCAAGAGTGGTCGCCACCCTCTTGGATGGCCGGAAGAGGTCGACGAACGCCTTGTACGACAAGGTCTGGAAGAAGTTTTCCGCTGGAAGGTCAGAAACGCAGAGCACCGGGCACGCCCATTTTGCATACCGTTCTTGAATTCCTTCAAGCCGGGGCGGATAAGAATCTGGCCGCCAATACCCTCAAAGTTACAGGTAGCGGCTCTGTCGAACTTTCTCGAGCTGAGGTTGGCGGCAGACCCCCTTAGTAATCAGATTCCTGAAGGCTCTATCTCCAGGCGCCGTGCCCCGTCCTTGCCAAAACTGCCAACATGGGACCTGGGCACAGTCCCTGAAGAGCTTTCAGTGGGGGCCTTTCGAACCGCTGGATGAGTGTTCGCTCAGGTTTTTTTGGACGCTTAAAAAACCATCCTCCTCACGGCACTAGTTTCTGCCCGCAGGTCAGCGAGTTGCATGCCCTTTCAGTGATCGAGCCGTACTGCACCATCTTATTGGATAGGATCATCCTCCGCACGGACGCGGCCTTCCCATACCTAAGGTCGCGTCACACTTCCATAGATCTCAGAGGAAATAGTAATACCTTCCCTGGAGGCCGATCCGGGCAGCACGGAGGACTATAGCAGGTTAGACGTTCGACGGTGTTTGATCACGTACATCGAACGCACGAAGACATGGAGACACTCGTCCCGACTTTTCGTCCTATTCCAGGGGCCAAGGAAGGGGGACGGTGCCCCCAAGGGCACCATCGCCAGATGGATCAGGGAGGCAGTTTCGGAAGGTTACAAGTCGGCAGGCCTGTCACCACCCAGCCCGGCCTAAAAGCCCACTCCACGAGGGCCACTGCGGCCTCCTGGGCGGAAAAAGGGGGGGGCCTCCCCCGGACAGATCTGCAGAGCCGCAACGTGGTCCAGTTTCGCCACCTTCACTAAGCATTACAGGCTGGATCTGATCGGCAGCAAGGACCAGGCATTTGGCAGGAAGGTCCTTCAAGCAGGGTGCCCGCCCTAATGTACGTATTTCTATTCTACTCCTCTCAAGTGAGCTGTCCTAGAAGATGACTCGGGAAAACGCAGTTATTTACCTGTTAACTGTATTTCCAGGAATCTTCTAGGACAGCGTAACTCCCCCCCGATTACTGTTTGATCACACAATTTATGTGCAGGTATGTTGCGAACCCATGGGGGATGTCTTTATTACCGGTTTTCTTCTTTGTTTTCTCCTAGGCCTTCGGTCATATTCTTATACTGGGGGGCAATGGGAGAGAGGACGCCTATAAAAGGGGAAAAAAGGTGGAGCGGGTGTTTCCTGGGAGGAGCCCTATCTCTCAATGTGAGCTGTCCTAGAAGATTCCTGGAAATACAGTTAACAGGTAAATAACTGCGTTTTCAGGAAACAATATAATGTGTATTAGTGCAAATACACAATATTATACCCATTTTTGGTTAAAATATAAAAGATGAGGTTGCATAATGTAAATGGATAACAAACATTCCATGTCTTAAAATTGCAAGTGCCTGTGATATCGCTAAAAAACTATGGTGCCAAAAAATCACCATAGGTGACACTTTAAAAAGTCTTTACAGCCCATAAGTTTAGAGTTAACTATGAGCTCTTGTACTAGAAATTTTTATTCTCACTGACGTTCGCAGTGATATGTCACACATGTAAACCATGGTTTACATAGCATGCACACCCTGGGCTTGCGTTTTTGCAGTTGTGTGGGGCAACAGGGTTACAGCAATTTTAAAAAAATTGTGATTAAAGGTTCACCTTTTTGGATGTATGTAGTACATCCAAAGAGCCGAATTGGTTACCTTACCCTTTAATGTTTCAGTTCAAAAATTGTCTCTATAAACTGTTCTGTTCAGAATTTGATGAACACCCAAACACAGATAAGATAGATATAGATAGATAGATAGATAGATATGCACATGCCTTGACAGTGACAGCTATGATGTGCTGAGGAGAGGAATTGTCTGTTAATAGCCTTATGTTTTGTTTTTCCAAAGGCTGAGATCTTTTTAATCAGAATGTTTCATTTGCATTTTCTATCTATTTCACTATTAGAAAATAAGACATGAGTCAAGCAGGCGACCAAGCAGGTCCAGTCGCTCATCTGATGCTAACTCTGATGACTATGGGTCAGAGAGGGACAGTGGTAGCAGTGATTCTTCTGATGAAGAACAAGGAAACAATAGTGAGAATGAAGAAGGAATGGAAGAGGAGGAAGATGAAGGGGAGGAAGCTGAAGAGGAGGAAGGTGAGGAAGAGGGAGGAAGAGTATGCACAAGAAGAACATGAAAGAGACCAACGAGAAGGAAATGATTATGATACTCGTAGTGAGGCCAGCGACTCAGAGTCTGACTCTGCTTCATTCTCAGATGGCGACTCCATTCGTTCCGGTTCTGGCTCTGACATTTCAGGTAATTTGCGCATAGGTTTTCCATTTCTTGTGGTATTTTAGTTGCTTATAGTTGTAAAAATGCTCTACACAAGAAATTTTAAAGTTTGCCTGCTGTGGGTTTTTTCAGTTTAATAAAAAGACTCTTGCTTGCAAATCCTCTGTGCTTGGGTTCTCAATCCCCCCCCCCCCCCCCTTTTATTTCTAATAGAGGCCTCCTAAGGAAAACCTGGGATATTGTACTTTTATATCCCAGGAGGCTGCTGGAGAAGAGGGGGGTGATGGAATTCTGGTGAAAATTAAGGAAGGGGGCAGGCCAAAAACAACAATATAGAAATAAAAAAAGGGTCCACATTTTTGGGTAAGGATGGGGGGAGAATTGCTGTAATGCAAATGAGGATTTGGGAGTGAAGGTCTCTTTAATGTGAAGATATGGCTCACTTTTAGAGAAGGTTTGCCTCACAGAGTTGTAAACCTTTTTTCTGTTTTAGAATATTTTAGCTCAAGTTAAGTTCTTCCTTTTGGTTGTTTTTTAAAGTGTAAAAAGCCTGATAGCCTTTGTAATGACAGATGCATACCTGCCTGTCCTTTTCAGTAAATTGGGAGATTGCACATAATTTAATTGCATTGTATGTGTTTTTTGGCTAGTAGTTGCTTATTTTATCTAAACTGATTTCATCCACATATATGTCCAGTAGTCCATGGTACATGGTTCACACTAAAAGGAATGTAGGTTGCAGTGTCCATTGATGTAACTATTCCCAGCATTTGAGAAAAAAATAGAAAGCAAATGTAGGATAATATGGTAAGAACTGCAGGCAAAGAGCATATTTCATTTAAAATACAACCACTCTTGACCCAAAGATGCTTCAGGAAGCAGAAATCTTCCACATTTTTGGATGGTAGTCACATAAGTTTTCTCCTCTACTGCTGTTCTGGAGGTAGCTGTAAAATTTGACACAATGACATTTTTTTTAAAATTTGACACAGACAACAAATGTTCCCTGATGGTTAGGGATGGTGGTGATGTCTCTCTGCATGTAAATATGTTTGTGTAACCTTGTGTAGTAGTTAATGTGTCTATTACATGCAGTATGTTTTGATTAATCACTAAATCCCTCCCCTGTGCATAAGCTGGCCATAGATGGTTAGCTTTATTTTTTTATTTTTTTTTCCCCCAGTCAGGTGAATGGAGGAATCCCCTCCATAGGGACATTGCATTTTGACAGTGGGACTCTGCTGCAGCCACTGATCGACAGAAGTTTCCCAGCTTGTCTGTTCGGCAGACATCGATCCACTTCTGTTGAACTGGGATGGCTGTGCACTAATCCAAATTTGTCCGTTCCTTGCTGAACTGGACGAATTTTGATCCATCTATGGACACCTTAAGCCACTATATATATAAATAAAAAAAAATTTTTTGCATCTTTTATTTCTGAAGTTTGCTACCTCCTTTTTTAAAGGATGCGTATTTTTCCCACCAGGTCCTCACCCCGGTCTCAGAATAATAAAAGTAGGTTACTGTATGCTTCATGGTTTTATTTTAGCCTGCATGGCCTGCCCAGAGCCAATGTGCTCTGTTCCTGCCAAATTCCCTGCATAGTGCCTAGTGCATGTGCCGGAGTGATGACAGGGAGCTATTGAAAGTAGCAGCCTATTGGTGCATATGCTGAAATGCAAATGGTAACTACCAGGATTGGTTGTTTATTTTTTGCTCATTATAACCCTAGCACATGTACTGGACTTTATTCGGAATAGAGTGGCAGAACCAGAGCATGATATGCAGTTGCATTGGGTAAGTCATGCAGTCCAAGGAATACCATACACTTTACAAACTGACTATACAATCAACTTTTTAGATTTACTTGAACTATGTAATATGAGGACCTAGCCAATATATCTAATGTGTACACACACTCCATGCCACTTCGCTATCCTTGGCACTGGCAAAGCTTATAGCTTCAGTAAAAACCACATCATAATATGCAGGACTCATAAAGTGAATCTATGACTTAGTTTGACAATAAAGTGAATCTTTGAGCAGTATAAAGTAGAGTAGATTATGGTGTCTCCACGCCAGTAGTGGTCATGCACATTTGGACAAATCGAAGGAAATGCATAGGCTGTCATTGCTGGCTTGTTGGTAGTTTCAACACTTTTATGCTAATCGTCTGGTTTCAGTAAATGGAGCCAGGACTTCTAGCTACATGTGTTCTAGGCTATGAAGTACTGAAGCTATTAAATCAGCATGACAGTTGGAAAGCTATAGTCTTTTTGGGCGGCAGCAGTGAATCCTTTGTATCTTTCGTGGGCCTGTCACCAACTTAAAAATTACAGGTAAAAGCACAAAATAAGCAAGTTCTGTAAATGCATGTTAATAAAACATCATGTAAAGAAACAAAAAACACTGCAAGTAATCAATGTACCTTTAAACTTGATAGAAAATGTAACTACAACCTAAAGAGTCAGTTCTCCAGCACAGCCCCCTCCTTACATGCACGTCATATCCCTTTCCTCTCGGAATGTCTAATTGCTGTCTGTGCTGGCCCAGCACCTCTCTACATGATCTTTTTGTAGATGCAAGGGGAAGACTGAAGGGCAACAATAGTGTTCCTTGAGTGACATCTTTGAGTTTGCTCGGTCTGTTGATATCGCATCCAAAATGACAGTCTCATGGATTTTTGGATGTATAATTAGGGGGACCTTTTTACAGGTACATTACATGAATAATATAGCCTAATTGTATGTTTCTGTATCATACACTTGAGTCTACAGGGTATCTCCATCTCCATTATAGAAGTCTGATACCACCTTGAGGTGATTGGACACTGGGGAAAAATAGACAGGAAGTTCTCCTTCTTAGGCTTAACCCCTACCCAAGATAACTTCAGATTTTTTGCTAGTGTTTTTTATTCCTGGGTATCCCTGTTATAGGGTACCTGGATGACTTGCTTCTGAGAGAGCAATCCGCTTCACTTTGGGAGACCAATGTGTCTCTCATGGTAAGCACTTTGGAACGGTTCATATGGGTTCTGAAACAGAAGTCTGCCCTGAGGTTAGAATAAATGGGTCTGACACTGGATACCGCCCAAGGGAGAGTGATCCTCCCTCTGGACAAATGTCTTGCACTGAGAACGCAGGTGGACTTACAGCACTGTCAGATCACTTGGTTTGCTTTTGTGTGAGGTTTCTGGGAAAGATGCTTGCCTTTTTTCAAAGCAGTGCCCTTTTCCCAGTTTCCAACTTGCTCCAGGAGAATGTCCTGATGGCATGGTTTCTCTAGTGCTGTTACTCCCCTGTAGAAGACTGTTTTTGGACTGGTGCAGGGGTGTGGAAATTTTTGAAAAAACTACTTGACCAGGGACTAAATTGGGGCCCCAATCTACTTGTCCCTCATGACAATCTACTTGTTCTGATCAAAAACAAAAAATTTTTTTTTTAACCAAAACCATATTTAAAGGTGCTTTAAGGAATGTATGAGGCTTTTAAAAACAAATGGGCTTTATGACGACTTAAATGTTTTTAACATTTTACTGTTTATCTCTTCACCTTCTTGCCTGTCTCCAGCACCGCAACCGGGGGGAATTAGGGAGGAGAGAGACAAGACTTCGCAGTGTAATGAGCACAGATTTGGGTGCTTATCAGGAAAGGGGAGTGTCGAGTTTATCCTTCATCCCTTTTGCTGTCAGAGCTTTTTTTTTTATTTGATTTATTTTTGCACACATTTAAAAAATCATTTAAGGCCTGAAGATTACGCACAACCCCCAAACATGATATATTTTCTGAAATCGGAGACCCTAGAGAATAAAATAACGGTAGTAGCTCCAATTTTTTTATGCCACATGATATCACAATGGTCTAGGAAATGCAAAATGTCAGTAAATACTTGGGTCAATTTTAGGGCTCAAAAATGTTTTGGAGTGAGATTTCTAACATTTTGATTTAGTTGTTTGGGGCCTGTTGGATTGTGTCCCTCCCCTCATATTCGGTGCTTTGGGACATCCTTATTGTAATGGAGAAGAAGGTACCCTGTGTCCTGTAATGTACAATAAAGAAAATTGGGTTTCTGGTATATTTGTAAAATCTTCAAGTACACCACAGGGATTCCACCCCTCTACCTTTTGTGGCTTGCTACAAAACTGATGCCCTGTCCAATGGGGAGAAGTTATGCCTGGGAGGGAACTTCTGTCTTTCTTTTTTTTTTTTTTTTTTCCCCAGTGTGCAGTCACCCTAGGTTCACATCTGTGTGGTTGGTGCTGCTGCGGATCTGCACGAAAATCCATGCAGCTGCACCACCCACACAGAGAAATGCAGACCCGCGGGCGGGTGCCATTAGTTCTAATGGCACACCACCCGCACTGGAAAACGCAACCGTACTGGGAACCGAGGTTCCCGTGCGGGCTCCGTTTTTCAAAGAAGTGCAGGGACTTCTTCCCTGTGTGGCACGGGAGTCCATTTAAATGAATGGGCTCTCGTGCCCGTGTTAAACACGGCTGCATATATGTGAACCGGGGGTCACCGGAAGATGGCGGCATATCCTATCATAATGGATATGAAGGCACCCTGTTTTCTGTGAGGTACTCCAAGAAAACTGCCAGACCTCACTCTGGCCTTGTGTTGTGGTAGAAAGGTATAATATAAAACTTCTGTGCCAGTAATACATCGGTGCATTTTTATTTTTTCTAAACCTAGATTTGGATTTCACATGGCAGCTAATGCTTAACTGCTTGTGGTGTATTCAGTAATTGTTCACCACCTTTGTACGTTTTAGCACCTTACAATTTATGCAACTCTCAGTTGTGTATTTGTCTTCAGCCATGTAATTGTAACACAAGGGCTAACATGGAAATGGGTTAAATTGGTTTTGGTAGTTAATGCTTCCTGTTAGATGTCTAAAACCTTCTTTCATCTTGTGCTGCTGATACTTCAGCACAGTGATGGTTACATGTATGTGGGAATTGGTGCAGCCGTATAATAAGGTTTTGGGGTCTCTGGTAACTTGACTTTTTTTTTTTTTTTTTTTTTTTATTAGCAAAAAAAATTGAATGATTTGTTCTAGAAATTGGTTTTACTTTTAATATGTTTACAGTGCTGTTTTCAGATGCTTTTTTTGAGATTTGTGTTTTTTTTTTTTTTTTTTTTTTTTTAAGGTCTATTTGTGCACTTTCCAGTTGATAACTAGAGACTTTCTTGCCTAAAAATTTCAGTTCAATTTGTACAATACATATTTGAAGTCTCTCTATTTTGCTGCTTCTTGTGTGCGTTAGTTGAATTGTGTATAGTGCAAGCACCGTGACATGTATTTCAGCAGTGTAGTTGCTAGATCTTAGGAATCTGGATTCTGATTATGAACTTTCTTGTGTTGTGTTTTGATGGATGGCTAGAAAACCAGCCAGATTAGAGTTTCTGTTGGAGCACTCAGAGACCCCCTGCCTTTCTTACATTATTTTTTCACATATTTTCTAGATGAGAAAAAGGAGGAAAGGAAAAGGGCTAGAGGTATTTCTCCAATTGTGTTTGATAGAAGTGGAAGTTCTGCATCAGACTCTTATGCAGGTATTCTTTCCTTTCTTAGACACTTGTTCTGATTTCTTCCACACAAGGGAATTTAAACTTGAGGTGAGCTTTTGAAGCTCATCACTGGCATATGCAACTGCAGACAAAAATGGAGGGGGGGCAATGGCAAGTGACATTTTTACTTCACCGCCATTTGTTCTATTGTAACATGTAATAATGCATCTCTAGAGTCTCCAAGAATTTGGTTGGGAAGGCTTGTTCATAGTACACTTTTGGCTAAGAATGTTTTATCAATACATCTTTGAGTGCCAGTCTGGTACTTTGCAGTGTTCTAGAGAAAAAAAAATTGCAGTAATGACATGGCATATGAAACCCATTAGGGATTCCATCTTTGTAGCATGTTAAACGTTGATTCAGCCATATTGGGTTGATAGTTTTTCTGCATCTTGTTGCTCAGCTTTTGAACGTAGCAGTACGAAAGAAGCCTCATTTTGTTAACGTTTTATCTGGAATAAGACTGATAAAAAAAACAAATAGTTGTATTGAAAATGTATTTATCTGAAGGCACAATCTGAATGCATGTACTTTTTGACTAAATGCAGGTTCAGAAAAGAAGCATGAAAAATTACCCTCTTCTGTTCGTGATGTTCGAAAAGGTATCCTTTCAATTTTTTTTCCCTTTCTTTTCATCTTTTTCCCCTCAAATTTGTCTGTATTTCAATATGATTTCATTATAAGTGAACTTATCCATATCTCTCTAAACAAAACTAACCTAGAAGCCCTCCCCCCTCCCTTCCAGCTGCTTGGTTACATAAGTATGACAGTCACAGCAGTTCCTCCCTTTACTTATCCCACATGGAAATCATCTTTAACACTGTCATACACTTGAATAGTGCTGTACTCAGAGACTGTAGACACAATGTATGGCCCTGGGGACTCATTGCACAAGCATCCTAAAGAATGTAAGCAGTAGAGACTGTCATAATGATGTTATTAACTAGTTGGGTTAGGGATTCTAGGTTAGTTTAGAATAGCGATAAGGAGGGTGGAGTAGTAAATTGAAAAAAATAAAAAAAAAAATATATATATATATATATATATATATATATATATATAATATATATATATATATATATATATATATATATATATATATATATATATAGGCATTTATCCTTTCCGCGGAAATAATGGTAACTTTTTTTTTTTTAATACATTTTACTTTTTGGCCCTCACTTGGAAGAAATTGCCCCTTGCTTTCTGCTGTGTTTTTAGGACAGGAAGTAAGGGGAAATCTACCCAACAGACAAACTTTTAAAGAGAAGTACAGTCAAAAATGATTTGCAGAGCAGAGAGCTGTTATTGACAGTCACCAGCTCATGGAGCACAGAGAACTGAGCGATCATCGGTCTTTGATGGCTCAGTTCTCAGCCTTCGAGCTGGTGGGAGACAGATGCAGCATCAGACCGATGCTGCATCCACCTAAGTAAGTATGATTTCTTAAAAAAAAAAAAAAAATCTTAATATTTAGTCTTTGCATATTTTAAAGGGACTCTAATGCTTTTCTAAGGTTATTTGCATTGAAGTTAAACTTGATATACTCTATTCATATGCAAAATTCTCTACTTGTCTGCCTAGTACCTTAACATTTGTGAGTGGGTTGCTGCAAATTTACTCTGCTGAGTGTTCTCTCTAGTGTCTCCACTTCAGATTTGTGTTAGTGTGTTCAGTGCAAACAGAAGACATCTGAGGTATAGGCAATGACTCTAGGAATTACACCTTTACAAACAAAATTGTGGAAGAGCAAGCATTTTAAATGTTCTAGTCTTATCAATTATAACTCCAAATATGAGCTCACTGAAAATAAACCTTTTAAAGTAGGAATGCACCCATGCCTATTAGAGTATGAGTACCGATAATTGTACTCGCTAATACCAATTACCAATGCCTTTTTGGTGCGATTAAAGCACATGCAAAATGAAGGGGCTCAAATCAAACTAAAAAAGCGCATGTGATTTGAGCAGATATGTGTTGCAATTCCTGTCTGAATCACATGCGGCTTCTTGCACTGCCGTATGAACCCAGACTGAAGTCAATATAACGAGCAATGCATTCCTGTTCAAATCATGTGCGATTCTTTGTAGTGCGATTTGAGCAAATTTACTACTTTGTGCTCAAATCGCACCCCAAAGGTATCGGAGCATTTGCACGAGTACAAGTACTCGTGCAAATGCTTAGTATCGGCACCGATACCGGTATAATATGCTGTAATGACCATAGATTACCAATTTGCTGGTAAGTTTTACTGGTATTTTTGGTCCAAAACGGCAGCATGAAACTTCTTGGAAAATGTCACTGTGTACTTTTTGGTAGCTTGGTTAGCTGGTTTTTGCTTAAGTTTTTAAAAATGTGCTATAAAGCTGATTACAGACCCTCGTGGTTATTGTATGGATCCATTTCACTTTTGTATTTGACTTGCAGTCATATGCACAAAATCATGTTAATGACCTTTTTCCTTGTGTCTGAAAATAATAATTTAAAATGAAATCAATAAGGCCTAGGTAACTGATGACTGACAACACAGATATGAGTACAGTGCAGTTTAGATCTATTTGGCTTGTGCTGTACGTTTTTTACATTGACTGTCCTATGCTCCATTTTTTTCTTTGTATTCAATTTATACAGAAAATTTATACAGAAAATATATCCTTATCAGTTGAAGCACTTTTGACATCTTAGCTGAAAGTACTAAATATGGAATTTTTAAAGCTGTGTATGGCAGCATTAATGCAGTTGTAAGATTTTAGACCTAAGATCTTTAGGTAAAAGTGCTGTGCAAGACTGATTTTATTATGTGATTTATTTTGTTCTGAAAGCCTGAATGGGGAGTTCTGTAAAGTGCTTCATTCTTTCAGAATATTTGATCATGAGTGATTCATGGAATGTTGATTAATTTTTCCATTAGAGTTAAGTAGTGTCTACATAGTGAGCTGTGTGCATGAAGTCATTTGTGCTCAAACACTGTAAGCTTCTGTAGGTTTTTGTTAACCACTTCCCACCCAGCCTATAGTAACATGACGGCTGGGCGGGACTCTTTGTCAATCCGGGAGTGTGTCATATGAAGTCCTTGCCGGATTGCACCTTCCGCAGGGCCGCACTGTTGCAAGACCTGTCACTGGCCGTGTACCTCTGACACAGCCGAAGGCAGATCTGTGTACTGGCCCTGTTGCCAGTACCATGTGACCTGCTGTGATCAATCACAGCAGGTCACATGACAGTTGCAAACAATGGATGGCTTCCTTTCATGCTGTCCATTGTGTACAAGTGTGTCTAGCTGTGAATGGTCAGTTATCTCGTGCACAGGCTGAGCCAATCACAGCCCATCTGTGTCATGTGATTAGCTGTGGCTAATCACAAAGACCTGAATGAATCAATTTCATTCAGTTAAATGCTAGCTTATAGCAAAGAAATTATTTGCAATAAGCAATCAAATTGTGTGTGTGTGTGTGTGTGTGTGTGTGTGTGGTGTGAGGGGGGGGTACTGATCACTTCCTCAAAGTAGTACAATGTTACTATGGTAACATTATATTTTGATCATAGTGTAATATGAAAAAAAATCTCTTGAAATTGAAAAAAAATTAAAAAAATTTTTCGTACTGTCACCCGTGTCCCTGATCACCGCCACACCAGTTATGATGGCACTGCACTGGTGACAGTATGTGGGGAAAAATAAATTGTGAAAATGTAATTTCGTCATTGACAAAAAAATTACAACTTCAAAATACTCGCCATGCCTCTTATGAAATACGTAGGACTGTCTACGTTGCAAAAATGGGTCATTTGGGGGATATCTGTACTCTTCTGACACTTTTGGGCCTCAAGAAATTAGATTGGCTGTCAGTACTTCAGGATTGATCAATTTTCAGATCTATACCATAGTTTGTGAACTCTATAACTTTCCTACAGACTAAATAATACTGATTAGGGTTATTTTCACCAAAGAAATGTAGCAGAATACATCTAAATTTTATGAAGAACAATTATTTATTTGCAAACTTTAACAAAGTGTTTTTTGTTTTTGTTCTTTTTTTCTTTTTTTTTCTTTGATGATTTAGCAAAAATAGAAACCCCAGTAGTGATTAAATACCATCAAAAGAAAGCTCTGTTGTGTGAACGAAATGATAAAATTTTAGTTTGGGTGTAGTGTGTGCATGACTGCGCAATTGTCATTCAAAGTGTGAGAGCACTGAAACCTGAACATTGGCCTGGGTAGGAAGGGGTTAAAGGTGCCCGGTATTGAAGTGGTTAATGGATTTATATGATTTTTGGTACATTTGTTTGTTTGTTTTGTTTGTTGATGTATACGTTCCAGAAAATTGGGTACAGAAACAAATGGTAAACCTGTCTTAGGTTATGTACTTTCACATCATTTATCATTGGCTACCTGCATGCTCATATATATATCTGTGTGTTAGGCAAAAGATTCTTCACACTTGTATTTTATTTTATAGAACGAATCAACAAAATTCGGTACATTTTGCAGGATGCACGGTTTTTCCTTATAAAGAGCAACAATCATGAAAATGTATCCTTGGCTAAAGCAAAGGTAAGATTAGTAACTGTTGCCTTTTAGCAGACAACTGTACTTTGACCCTCCGTTTAAATGAACCTCTGTGTGTGGGAGATATTACATGACTCTGCATTATGCAGTATATAAGGAGTAAATGGTAAGCTATTCAGTTTGTTTATAACTAGCTAGGTAGGGCACAGTGGGATGTATAATTTACTAAGGTGTACCATAACGTGCTTAAATGCTCATGAAAATATTGTGCATTGATACGCTTACATGCATTTTCATGTGCCCCAATATCTGCTGTGTTGTGTGTTTGTACCCGAATTGCCTTTGTACTTTTTAACATGCGTGCATTGTGGAAATTGCATAAATGCTGTACTTTTCCGCACCACATATCACTGCTGTGCACGTTTTCTTGAATGTTTTCCATTAGCATTATCAACCTTTGTAACATAAGTAGTTTTCGCATTTTACTACAGGTAATGTTGGCGTTAGTATCATAATGTTTAGTACAGTTTTATGTGTTTTCACATACTATTACACGTTCTTTTTATACAGGGTGTTTGGTCAACTTTACCAGTAAACGAGAAAAAGCTCAACACAGCTTTTAGATCTTCACGGAGTGTTATTTTGGTTTTCTCTGTTAGAGAGAGTGGAAAATTTCAGGGTAAGTAGATAATTTTATTAGGGAAGTGTTTTACTCTTTTTTTTTCATTGTTAGGTTTTTTGTTTTTTTTTTAACTCCTCTGTAGCAAATAACTAAACTGTTGTATTTTATTTTAAGGATTTGCACGGCTGTCATCTGAATCTCATCATGGTGGATCACCCATACACTGGGTCCTTCCAGCAGGAATGAGTGCAAAGATGCTTGGAGGAGTATTCAAAATAGATTGGATTTGCAGGTAAGCTGACTTGGTATTGGACACCAATATTCTCCAAATACCCACTCTCACAGCACTGCATGATTTTTTTTTTTTTTTTTTTTTTGTGTTGTGTTTTTTTTAAGATCACTGTCTCTTGTTTAATGTTTAACCATTTTATTTCTATTTCTCATTGAATAGGCGAGAATTGCCATTTACTAAATCTGCTCATCTTAATAATGCATGGAATGAAATGAAGCCAGTGAAGATTGGACGTGATGGTCAGGTTAGATCGATTTCTCTTGTTCCAGCCGAAGTCTTGGAGTTTCTACTTTTTCTCTGCTGTTTCCTGGTTTTTAGGTGTTATATTGTACAGACATTAGCTCACAAAGGCTGCAGCTCTTGATCGTTTCAATTTTAAAAGCCAGTGGCATAATCTACAACCTAAATCTGAAACCAGCCAATTAGAATGCTGGAACCTAGCATAGTCAAGGAATTTCTCAAATCTAGTACCCAAGACAAATGCAGGTCATTGATTCTAAGTTGACGTTGCGCTCAGCTATTCATATTTGTTTCCTAATATGTTGTGTGCTAAACTTTCAGTGCTTATACCGGTATGATCCCAACTGCAGGCCTCACCCCGATATCCTTTTTTTTTTCCTTTTTTGACCCGGTGGTCTGTTTTCTTGTAATAGCAAATTGGTGCAGCTACCAAGCTACTTGATTGCTATTACAAACAGCGTGAGCGGACGTCCCCCCCCTCCTGCCTCCTTCTGCAGGAGACCAGAGCGTCCAGTCAACACATCCACCGGCTGGCTGGACAGACAAACCATATTAAAAATATGGACAGCGCTAATGTAAATGTCAAGAAAAAATATATAAATAATATATCAGATGGTAACAATATATTGGAAAGAGCAGCTATCCCATCCTTGAGGACAAGGTGCAATTTGAAACAATCACTTGAGACAGCGCTCCTCAAACATAATATACCTCTTAATGTGTGAACCAAACACATTTATATTCGTGCAAAAAATAGCTCCTGGAGGACATTGGATGACGAAACGCGTAGGTGGGGCCTCAGGAGGTGACATCATCACATATGGGTGAGCTGCCAATGTCTAATTGGGATCGAAGCAAACCTATGATTATCATTGTGTGCAATATATGCTAGTGTTGGCTCTGACACTGTTCAATGTGAGTGGATTTGAAGCTTTTTTTTTTTTCATAAGCGATACAAAACTGGTTTGTTTTTTGGAAAAAAAAAAAAATTTGGACTAGTAATCATTAGGAATGCTAGACATCTTTTTGTTACCATTCGGCTTTTCCGGTCCTTCATATTCCTGAATGAGACTGTGTAGATTTTTTCCAGGTTCAAACTATCATTTGTTTTGCTGCGAGGAGCAGGTATGTATCCAGTTTCTAGAATATGTAAGTAAATAACAGCCAATCAAGCGTCTTTGGTAATGCTAAAGTCGAATAGGAGACCAAAAACTCTGGACTAAAAAGCTACGAATTTAGCGCCGTCCCACCAGGCAATCCAGGCTGGTTACGTTCAAAAGAGAACCTTTTTATATGCTCATTAAAAAATTCAAGCATTTAAAAGATAAGGTCACCTTTTGTGACAAGGTACATTTTAAATGTAATTAAGGCTGATTTCATAGGTCAGGTGCAGTGCATGCATCTTTTCTTCGTGTTTTGTAGTTGGCTATAAATTATTTTAAACTGCTTTTATTGACACATTCATCATCAGTAAATATTTTCAAGTAAATGAAGAGTTCAAGTACATTTCAGCAATAGGGACTCGTTTCGATCCCGAGCCGGGCTGTGTGTGTCTATTGACACACACACTGCTTGGCTTAGCGTTTTCCCAGCTCCCTTTTCATGGTATGATGCTTCATGTACTGTGAGCAGAGAACAGTGCTGGAGTGAGATTGGGCTCACGTGAGTATTTGGGGGTGGGGAGAGGGGGAGCTGATCCCAGAAGGTTTTTTACCTTAGTGCTGAGAATGCATTAAAATAAAAAAAAAAAAAAAAAAAAAAAAAAAAAAAAAACTTCTCCCTTTACAACTATTTCAAGATATTAGGAAGCCAGCAGGGGGACTATCTAGCTATCATGTTCTGCTTATTACTAGAAAATTACGTTTGGGTGGAACTCTCCCATTCCTAATCCTTTTTTTTTTGTTTTTTACTTTTTTTTTTTTTTTCTTCATGTGCGCTTATTTTTGGCACGCTTGCTGAAGATGAAAGTCATGTTTTTAGGTGCTCAACCTCTCATGATGTATTATACAGTAAAGGTGTCAATAAACTGCTTTAGCAAGATCATGATTGTAGAGGTACTGCTTTATGTGAGCATAAAATTAGAGGCGCTAAACAGGCCTGTAGCTATTTGCTGTTGAACACTCTAAGGCAGGGGTGGGCAACTGTGGCCCTCCAGCTGTTGGTGAACTACAAGTCCCATCATGCCTCTGCCTTTGGTAGTCATGCTTGTAACTGTCAGTTTTGCAATGCCTCATGGGACTTGTAGTTCTACAACAGCTGGAGGACCACAGTTGCCCACCCCTGATCTAAGGTAATTTGACAGATTGCTCAATTTTGATTTTTAGAATATTGCTTTATTCAGTGTTAAAAGTAAGTAAATCTGGTTTTGCATATTTTAAGTGAACCTTACCCTAGACCAGTGGTTCTCAACCTTCCTAATGCCGTGACCCTTTAATACAGTTCCTCATGTTGTGGTGACCCCCAACCATAAAATTATTTACCCAGTAATTATAATTCATGAGTGTCGTTTTACCTCCAATACTGCTGCTTTCAACACAGTAGCTGCTTTCAACACAGTAGCTGCTTTCTACACAGTAGCTGCTCTTTACACATCGGAAATATGTGTTTTCTGATGGTCTTAGGGGACCCCTGTGAAAGGGTCGTTCGACCCCCAAAGGGGTCACGACCCACAGGTTGAGAACCACTGCCCTAGACTATCCACACAAAAGCATTTACATGCTTTATTCCCAAATAACATCTGGGAGCTACTTCAAAAGCCAACTGTCTGATTTCTGCTAGAAGTGTGTGTAAAAGCTGGCAGTGGCAGCAAAAACAATTAATTCACCTCTGGACAGTTTGGAGTGTATAGAAATTCAAGGATTGAAATATTTGGTTTCCATGTACTCAATTGTTTTTTGTGTGCAGTCTGATATTTAAAGTGTTACTAAACCCCAGTAAAGCACTAACACGCAGCCCCTAGTAAAACGGCACACAGTTAACCCTTTGATCGTCCCATATGTTAACCTCTTCCTGCCCAGTGTCATTGCTTTTTAGTAGCACTGAGCACGGTATTGGTATAGATGAATCAGAGTGACTTGCGAGCCACAGGTGTGATAATTACTAGAGGATCGCAAACATGAAACACATAACTACAACTGTGTTAGAAATATCTACAAATATATGTTGCGCTCCTAAATACTTCTCAATAAATAATTAAATTATTACCATTAAATTAATTCAAATTATGATACAAATAACTAATAAAAGTGTATAAATACCAAAAAATATTTAGATAATTTCAACTAATCAATCTCCTCCAAATAAATATCAAAATAATTCCACATAAAATACTCCTCTGAAAAAATATTTTGCCAAGTGCTCATAAATCATTAGTGGCATGATGTACTTACTAATACCCTCAACTTCATTTATATTCATAATACCCTCATTTAATATAACAAAAATAATAAACCAACTAATAACACTCAACTAAAATGCATTTAAATGATCCCCATAAACAAAAATAACCAAATGCTCATAAATAACTAGTAGTGATTAGTATGAATCCAAACATCATCAAAATAATAGTCCCATTGAATAAACAATTGTTTGTATATAGTGACTTGGTGCTTGTTGTTCCTCAATTTGTGACTTTTGGGAATCCTTCAAATAGTGAAGATGTGCGCTCACCTCCTTTGATGCCTGCAATTAGGCTATACACGCTTTCGGTTCACTTTCCCTGGAACCTGCTGGACATATACTTTTGCTGGTAAAATTGGGAGATCCTTCCTTTAGGAGTAATGGATGTATCCTCTGGTGGCTGATTATCCCCTCAGGGATTACACACTCCTTTTGTTATCTCAGACCTCTTAATTATCCTCTCCTTGTGTTACTCCGCATGCAGGAAGAAATAGAGGACATAGTGCTTTACCTTTTTAAAACTTTTTTATTCCCACCATCCAAGTATTAAACTCACATTAGACAAGTTTAAATAACGCAATATCCCATTGGAAATCCTCTGCTGGCCTCTGATAGCTATCACAACCCCCTGATGAAGCCACGTGATTGGAGGCGTAACGCGTAGGGGAGGGGCTACGTCATCACTCGGAGAGGAGCTGCACAACACGATAGACGGCAGGTGTATGACTCAGAGGCCAGCAGAGGATTTCCAATGGGATATTGCATTATTTAAACTTGTCTAATGTGAGTTTAATACTTGGATGGTGGGAACTCCTGGGGGGGGGGGGGGGGGGAGGTCATAAATTTAATTTGGGTGCAGCACTGCACAATTGTCAAAGTCACAACGCAAAAAAAAATGGCCTGGTCAGGAAGGGGGGGGGGGGGGGGAATTCTCTAGAGGGCAAGTGGTTAAAGCATGTAGGAGGAGTTCTCTAGGAGGATGGAAATCCCCTGACTTGTCTGGACAGTGCTGATTGGTCCTGTGCTGATCACATGCACTCTCCCAAGAAAAAGAAATCCCCTCTAGCAATACACACTAAACTGAGCATGTACAGAAGGGCACAGTTCAGTCTGACTTATCAGCGTGGGCATTTGAACAAGAGGGGCAGAGAAAGAAAAAATCAGCCTTTTTACACAATGCGGAGGATTAACCCCTTAGGTTCCACAGTGAGTATAACAGCCTGCTGTACTGCATATACAGACTGATTTTACTGTTGTGGGTTTAGCAACACTTAAACTGATTTACCCCTCCTTCCCTCCCGACCAGGCCATTTTTTGAGAAAAACAATATTTTTGACTTTTTGCTATTAAACATGTCCAGTAAAAACAAATTTCATCAAATTTAGCCCAAAATATATTCTATGTCTTTGCTAAAACAAAATCCCATATGTGTAAATTGGTTTACGTAAAAGTTATAGCATTTACAAATGGCGGTATAGATACTGGATTTTTCTTTTTTTTTTTTTTTGTTAACTAGTGATGGTGGCGATCAGCGACTTCTAGTGGGATTGCGGTGGGCATTCTGACACTGGGGGGAACTGACTTGGTGTCGCTGACATCCCCATTGACACCAATACAGTTATCAGTGCTAACATAAAGCACTCACACTGTACTAATGGCACTCGGCAGGAAGGGGTTAACATGTGGGGCTATCAAAGGGTTAACACTGCTATTTCACAGTAAGCTGTGTCTGCTTTCACCTGTAAGCACGCTGTTTTGTATGGCTCTGCTATGTATTTGTTATAGGGCGGCGGGGGAAAGCGGTTAAAGAATGTTTGGTAATACTGCTTTTTAGTGTTTTGGACACTGGAAAACAAATTAAAAATAAACACCCACAATGCACAATGGTGTATAATCCCCCCCCCCAACCACTCCCAGTATGCCTGAGCTTTTTTTTTTTTTTTTTTTTTTTTTTTTTTTTTGAGGATGGATGCCTTTTCTCTGCTAGCTATTTTTTTCTTCAGTGGTTCCAAGGGCTGCAAGCTAGAATTCACTCAGTCCTCTATTGGTTCATGTCTTTAAACCTGCTTCTGTCACAACACAGACTAGCGGATCTCTCTGCAGCTGTTTCACTGTAGTCTGTCCCATGTACCTGTGGTAGAACAGTTCCAGGTTTTCTGCTCCAAACAGTTCCCAAACCAAAAGGGGGGCCTCTGCCCGATTTTGGACCTCAAAGTTCTAAATGTTTTATTATGGTCCAGAAATTCCGCATGGAATCAAACAAGTCTGTCAATAACCTCTTCTCTTCAGGAAGACTTTTTGGCCTCCACAGACATGAAGGATGCTTACTTGTTCAGGAGTCATCTGATAGTCTGCCTCAAGAGAAGCTACTTTCACCTAGTTGCAGTCCACACACCTACAACTCAACATTCCTTCATCATGAGAAGTCAGTTCATTCTTCGGACAGAATGATTTGTCTGACACACAAACCAGGAATCCAGTTCTGGAGGTAGTGAAATCCTTTTGTTTTGATTTCTTAGGAGATCCTCACAATGCTGGACATCCTGACTGTAAGGTCACCCAATCAGGATTCATTGGGATAACACCATAACAGTGGAGTGCAGCAATCATTAGGTAGGAACCCTCATGCTCCAGCCTTGTCTGCCATTTTCTTTCCCTGGCATGAACAAGTTTTCCCCTGCCAGAAGGCCTGGACCCAAAGAAATGGTCCCTACATCCATATCTGTGGTTCAAGCAGTGCCGTGGATAAGGAGGTACCACCAGTCCTCCTGTACGGGGCCCAGGCAGCTGGGTGAATCGGATGTGGGCAAGGAGGGTGATTGGCACGGAGGGGGTGCAAATACTGTAACCAATCCCCTGTATAGCTCTCCCTGCAGCAGCTGAAAGCCAGCTACTTCTGTCCCTCCTGCTGTTTTTCAGCTGCTGCAGAGAGAGCCCCTCCCTTTTTTTTTTTTTTTCCTAACAGCAGCTCTGGGTTCAAGAACCTGTTACAGGTATAGGAGCTGGATACCTTCTGGCTTCTCAGTGCAGAGTGCTGCTGGTGGAAGCACTGGATGCTCTGGTGTTTCTGTAGGACTAGTACAGCCTGATACATACCTTTCCTCCCCTGTACCTCATTCCTTGCTGCTCTGCAGGATTGAAATGGGAGCTGCATTCTGGTGATCTTCATGGCATTGGACTGGTCCTTGTCAGACCATTTGGATCTTCTGTCCCAGGCACTAGTCTACTATCCTGCTTCATGGTCGCTGGCTGTAACTGTTTACTTGGAACAGGGGCATCTCTGAATTGGTGATTCACACATTGCTGAAGAAAATTCACCTTGGAACGAATCCTGGACCTACTGTAATCAGGCCTGGTTAAACATTTGGTTCTGATTCACTGTTGGATTCTGGCAGTTTGTCTTGTTCCAGAAACTGCTAGCTTCCCACTCTTGAGTAAGGCTTGCGCTCGCCTGTCACTCTGTGGAATCTGACATTGGTTCTCTTGTTACTTCTAAAACCTTCTTTTGCAAGACAGGGATATTCCCCTTTGTGCTCTGCTAGGCATGTATCAGAGCTGGGGACTTTGTTGTGTAGTGTACTTTTTCTTGCCTTACATGGGGACAAGGTGATATTAAGGCCTAGAGCCTTGCTGTGGTAACTTCGGCCTCTCAGCTTATTCTGAACATGGTTCTTTTATCCATCTGATCAGCTCTTTGTCATCTCTTTAACACAAGTTCAACCTCTGTGATCATGCTCTAGGTACTGATTTTCCACAAAATTCTTCTTTCTTAGGACTAGTAGGGGGTGATATACTGGGCTGTTCACTTGGTGGTTTTTTTTTTTTTTTTTTCCTTGTCTGTCTAAATCCTTTTTGTGACATTAAAACCCTACAAGCTTGACATTCCTGTATCCCTCCATAAACTCTGAGGACCGTCTTTTGACGGTAAGTACAAAAAGCTGTCCTGTCATTCCTTCTGCTGTGATTGTTCTATTCCAAGGCAGGTTTTCTTGGTAGGAGAGTGTTTTTGTTTTTTTTTTTTTTTTTTTTTTTGTTTTTTTCTGATATTTTAGATGGTTTAGTAAGGTTATAAAATGTGTTTTTATAGTGATATTAAAAGCATGCTTTCTGGAATATACTGTACAAGTTAAGTGTTTTTCTCCTATGTTTAGTTTACTGGTTCCTTTATTACAGGAACTTATATAGTGCCGTCAATTTACACAGTGCTTTACATATATATTGTACATTCATATCAGTCCCTAACCCTCAAGGGGCATATAATCTTCTACATTCATTTGTACACTCTTGTGGCATTTGCCCTAATGGCCTTGGTTCTCGGAATAATGGTATATTCTTACCTGAGGTTCCATGAAATATTAAAGCGGAGTTCTACTCGACCTATCAAAAAAATAAGTCAGCAGCTACAAAAACTGTATAGTTGCTACAAAAACTGTAGCTGCTGACTTAAAAAAAAAAAAAAAAAAAAAAAAGCCACTTACCTGTCCCTCGGTCCCATGGTGTGTCCCTCGCAGCTCGTTTCGCCGGCCATCCTGTATTCCAGGAGGCCAGCATCTTCAGTGTGGGCACCCGTCTGTGATAGCTTGCGGCTTCACAGCTGGGTACCCACTGCGCATGCGTGAGTAGCGCTGTGCTTCGTGAATGGTCCTGTAGTCTTCTGGGACCTGTCACGTATCCCAAAAGACTACAGGGAGGGAGGGCACCTTCCGATCACCTAGGCAATCGGACCGAAAGTGGGAGTGGGTACCTGTCAGTTTTCGGGTATGGGGAGTGGGTGATTAGTCCTTTAAAGCGGAACTTCAACTTTTGGGTGGAGCTCCGCTTTAACTCTTATGGAGCCATATTTTTTTAAAAATGTGTAATGGTAGAAAAGTGGGCTGCTAGTATTTCAGTATTTGCCTCCCGACTATACAATTTAATTACCAGTATATCAATTTTCAGCAAGTGGAATTTAACTTCTGATCTCCACACTTGTTCCTGGTCAGTAACTCGGAGTATTTAAACCATGCATATCAAAAGAAGTTTGGGGGGTGGCCATTGCTGACTTCCAGAGAATGCCAGTCGTCTGACTGTGTTTTGGTTTTAATACTTTTGAATCACAGATCAGGAATACGCATACAAAATATATCAATGTGACAGCCAGGGACTAATCTTCTCAAAAAGTAAGTTCATTTGAAAAAGGTTGGTAATTTCAAGTTGAGCACGTATCATTTATGGTCGGTTTCCACTTTTGAACTGGAGAGTAAGCAGTTTACAATATGCAGAGATTGTAAACTTTATCTCCTATGCAAAAAAAAAAAAAAAAAAAAAAAACCTAAAATGTGGTTTTCTCTATTGGTAATTGCTTGAATAATTATATCTGTATGTTTGCTTTTCTCACTTGAACTTATGTTTGTTTTCAGGAAATTGAACCAGAATGCGGGACCCAGCTATGTCTTCTATTC